CTTAGGTGCCCACCATTCATTACCTAATAGATTGCAACAGCCTCCCAGCTGTTCTGCTGTTGATGTGCTTATTACCGTGTTACTCTCCACTCAGGATTCTTCAGTTTTTTTTCTTTAGTTATAGTAGTGGCTTTCAAATGTTTTTATTTTCTTTTGAAAATAGTAGAATCATTGAAAAAAACCCATGAAACCATAGCATGAAAATCAGATGAGGGCAGAACTTCCCTGGTAGAAGGATGCAAGAGCTGAGCTTATTTGGATCCTGTCTACTTTTCTCTGAGACAGTTTTTAATTGAATTCTATTTCGTTGTCTCATACACCTGTCAAACTTATGTGCATCCTTCAAGATGAGTGGAAAAATCCTAACCTGACTCCCCAAGGATTTTGTTGTATTACTTAACTCACCATTTACAATACACTTAAAAGTCTTTCTCTCCTGTCAAAGACTATGACTTATTTATTTACTTTCATCTTTCATTTCTAAATGTAGTGACAACTCATTAAATGATGAAAAATCAATTTAAGTATCTGATTCTGTTTCCTAATGTATTATGTTCACTAACATAACAGAACTGACTGGTGGACTGGACAGTTTTTGATTTTGATCTTTTATAAATTTGCCAAAAGGCTTTGAGCAGATGAAGTTACAGAAGAGCACCGATGTAAAGAAGACAGGTACAATTGTTAACTGTTTCTACATGGTAATGTCTGCTGGCTTGTTAACTTTTTCACTTGAAGGATGAGGCAAAGCTCTCAAGTCCTACAGCTATTGAAACTCTATTAGTCCATTTTCACACTGCTTTAAAGATACGACATGAGACTGGGTAATTTATAAACGAAGAGGTTTAATTGACTTACAGTTCCGCATGACTGGGGAGACCTCAGGAAACTTACAATCATGGCGTAAGGTGAAGGGGAAGCAAGCTTGGACCTTCTCATATGGTGGCAGGAGAGAGAAGAGTGAGGAGTGAAGAGGGAAGAGCCCCTTATAAAACCATCAGATCTTGTGAGAACTCACCATCATGAGAGCAGCATGGAGGAAACTGCCTCCATGATCCTGTCACCTCCCATCAGGTCTCTCACTAAATGCATGGGGATTATGGGGATTACAATTTAAGATGAGATTTGGGTGGGGACACAAAGCCTAACCATATCAGAAACAGTGAGAAATACATTCTAAAATTTGAACTTTGTTAATGATTAAGCGTAAAATACACTCTCAATTTTCCCTTACCCCCTACATATCAACACAATTACCTTGAACATCTTCTTTGAGGACGATTACCTTGGACAGGGACAGCTGAGGCACTTGGAGGCCACAGAAGCAATCACCTACTTAACATGCACTAGTCAGTCTTTGTGAAATATCACCCCTGATGCTGGGTGCTTATCTTTTATGGAACAGCTTGCAAATCTTAATTGTTTTAAACTGGCTCAGAGGCAAAGAGATTTGGGAATCAATAAATTACAACTCTCATACATACAAATGTGCATCATTAAAATGAAGACAATCTGATGGCTCTTTAGGTCAAATAACAAAAGAGGTGGACTTGAGTTTGTAAAGGCTCATTGTCAATCCTCTTATTACAAGGGTTGAATGCAGTTTTACTCTCTTTAGTTGCAGTATTCAAGTTTGCATATGGGCATTTGTTTTAGATGGATAGATCCTCAGTGGGAGTGAATTGATGAGGATTCGTTATTTGCTCTGGTGGCTGTATTTTTTCTTTATAAGGTTCATTAAGACAGAAGCAACAATATTTATGCCTTTAAATACTGATTTGTTGGGAGCAGCTAAATAAGCTATTCTAAGAATTGTAATATCAGACCCAGAGCTTGCTCTAAGATTCCAGACTTTCTCCCAAGGTCAGCCGTCTTAGTCTTCTCTAGAGATTTGGAAAAAGCTCACGTCTGAAAAGTAGACAGCACAAATGTTGTTGCTTTCTTATTAATAAGAAATTTTGTTGCACCAGCAGCTGGTAGTAATCTGCAGAAGAGTGTTTACTGTTTTTTCTCCAGTTGAAAGAAATACCTTTCTCAGCTTTAACCAGAATTTAGGTATTTCTGTTTCTTTAAATTGTTATTCAAGAGTTTGGTCATTCTTCAAATTTAGCAGTTCTTCCTTTTCTTTCATCAGTGTGTGATGCTGAAATTTCTTATGATAATGAGGGTAAATTTCTTATCTAATTGAACTTTTTTTCTTTTAAATCTTTAAAGGCAATGATGAAGATTTTCCTTGAGCATACATAAATGTTTTTTTCTACTAGTCTTAATAATTCTTCTTTGGGCTTCAAATTATAATAGTGATTAAATATAACTTGTGGACCATTTTTAATTTGTTTTCCAAAGTAGAATTTGATTGCACAGGTGATGTTGCTACACATTAGGATATTTTTATATCCTCCAATTTTTACGTTCATTCTAGTATTTTAGAATGTTTAAGTGAGTCATCTTTGAATCTAGTGACTGCACTTCAGTAAAACTACAAAGAGAAAATAATATAAATTAAAAGAAATTTTATTTTAATTCATAAACTCATGATAAATGTTTCCTTTGGTCAGTGAATGCTCTTCAGTATGAAATAGTAGAGATTGGCCCTGTGATCGGCTCATTTCTTCAGCTCATCAGTTGGTGAGAACTAGTGGCATGGCCCTACCTAGGTAGATGCCAGGGGACTAGGAAATAAGGTCAAGAAGTTGCCAGGGAGGAAAAGGACACAGTTACCAAGAAAATGGAAGTTCTGAATATAGAGCTTTTATTTAATTAAATTTTCTGGGTTGACAGCCTGTTAATCTGCTGTCAGCCTATTAATCTGCTATCTCTGTAGAGATCTTTAAATTTGTTTAATTTGTTTTTGTTTCTTTTAAGCACACATTATAGTTTTCTCTCTGATTATGCATTAGTGCAAATCACTGTAGAAAATTCATGAAATGTAGGTTTTTTTTTTTTTTTGAGATGGAATCTCGCTCTGTCGCCCATGCTGGAGTGCAGCAGTGCAATCTCGGCTCACTGCAACCTCTGCCTCCTGGGTTCAAGTGATTCTTCTGTCTCAGCCTTCTGAGTAGCTGGGATTACAGCTGCATGCCTCCATGCCTGGCTAATTTTTGTATTTTAGTAGAGATGGAGTTTCACTGTGTTGTCCAGGCTGGTCTTGAACTCCTGAGCTCAGGCAATCCGCCTGCCTTGGCCTCCCAAAGTGCTAAGATTACAGGCATGAGCTACTGTGCCCGGCCGGAATGTTTTTGAAAAAGCAAATCAGCTATAAACTCTGGATAGTAAATCTATTTTTGTTCCGTTTCTCCCTACTCCCCCTTTATCTCTGCCCTTCCCCACACCTCTAAATTTATATATTGGTTGTCCTAGCTTATTTTTTGTTGTTTATAAGAGAATACCTGAAACTGGTATAAAGAAAAGGGCTTTATTTCTTTCAGTTACGGAGGCTGAGAAGTCCAAAGTTGAGGGGCTGCATCTGGTGAGAACCTTCTTACTGGTGAGGACTGTCTGCAGAGGCCTGAGGCAGCATAGGGTATCACCTGGTGAGGGGGCCAAGCGTACTTATTTGGTCTCTCTTCTTAAAAAACCACCAGTGCCCACTAATCCATTACTCCGTGTATAGATTAATCCATTCATAAGGGAGGAGCCTTCATGACCCAATCACCTTTTGAAGGTCTTACCTCTCAATACTGCCTCATTGGGGATTAGATTTCAACGTGAATTTTGGAGGGGACATTCAAACCATAGAACTGGTCATTTATATACACATACAGATAACATATAACATTTATTATGAAATTGGAATTCATGCCTTTATCCCGTGCTTTGTCATTAAATGTTCTTCAGAAACAAATTTTTTAATGTCTGTTCATTGTATACCTTAGTTTTACCATTCTTGTATTTTGAAATTTGAGAATTTGAGTTGTTTTTATTTTGCCTCTATTACAGTAAATATTTTTGTATATAAATTTCTATATGTATTCTAAATCATTTTATTAGGAGAAATTTTTGGAAGTGTAATTACCAGGGCAAAGTTATAAGCTCTTCTTGATACTTATTACCTGCTGACATCCAGGCAAGTTATTCAAATTTGCATGTTCCCATTAGGAAAGTGTAGAAGTGCTCCTTCCCCTACAACCTCGCTAACCATAGACGTTACCATTTAACAGAAAACAATTACATAGTCTAGAAAAGCATCTTATTGTTTAAATTATATTTCTTAGATTATTAGGTTAAATGTCTTTTCATGGCCCTGAATATTTGTTTCCTTATGTGACCACTCTCAATATGTTTTTATTGACATGAAATGAAATAATAGGCAAACTTTAATTGAGGAAAATATTTGCAGAGGCCTGGTCAGTTTTCATTAATGCCAGTTATATTACTATTTACCATTCTTTTATAAAATTAGTTTTTAATTATAGTGTAAAATAATACACTGTTAATGACGAAAGAAGAGTGTATAATTGACGCTTATTGCTTTGTACTTTTCTTTTTGAGTCAGTTATATTAAGGGGCTCTCAGGATTTTCTTGGCCTCCCATGTATTCTGCTGTAGGTTCTGATTATGTGGTGTGAGCCTCTTGCCAACTTCAGCGGCCACTCCATTCTCATCTGCTTCTCCCTCCATCAGTCCTGTGTCTGGGGTGTAGTGGTGTTGGCTGATGATAGATTGGTGACTCTTGGTAAGGATGGACTTCTGCCACTATAGCTGCCTTCTGTGTTGTGGCATGAAGGGTTAGTTAGGTGCTCTGTTAGTTAGCTGTGGGAATCATGTTTGACCTTGTGTTGTCAGTAATAGTGGAAGAAAATGCCAGATTTTTATCAACAATGAAAATAATCTAACTTCTATTTTTTATTATAATGAGATTTTAAAATTTTACTTAGTTTAACATTTATGAAGCGTATGTAATTAAAGCCCTTAGATAGTTGCTGAATGTTTCATATGCTTAAAAAGAGCCATGCAAATTTCTCAGATATATCTCATCTTAAATCTTGATGTCTCTGCAGGAGTTCCATCAGATGCAGGAGTTTGAACATCTTTTATTGCTTACAGTAACTTAACTTTATAGCTGAAGACTTTGTGTGTGTGCTAGTGAAACTCATGCCGGAACGTGTGATTCTGTCTTAGTAAAAGTATGTAATCCTAGTGGGGGTAAGTGAGAGATCGTTTTTTTTTTTCTTGTATTATATGACGATTGGAGATAATTTATGTTTATGTTGTTCTTAATTTTATTTTATACCAGTCAGATTTTCTGCTTTAGAGTTAAATTCAGATGCCCCCGTATCTTTACTTGTTAATATTTATCAATTCAGTGCAGTGTGTTTTTTATAAAAAAAGACTTTGAGGTACCCATGCCTGTGGGAATAGTATAAAAACAGCCTGGAGAGTTATACATGAAATCATGCTGGTGATTATCCCTGGGAAAATGGGGCAGGAGTAGTACTGGGTGAAGGAGGGGTGGCTGGAAGGTACTAAGACTTTATTTACAGTGTTCTAAATATTTTACTAAAAACTCTCAAAGGTACATCTGTCAGAATGATAATATTTATTAGTTCTTGGTGGTAGATACATGCATATTTACTTTATTAGTCTGTACTGTTTTATATCTTAAATATTATCCCCAAATTTCAGTTATAATTATTTTTAGTCATCTTGAAACTTAAATTGTCTACATAGTAGAAGCGTCTGACGTGCCATTTATATCTGGTGAAGTTGTCTTCAGATAACTGATTATTATTAAAATTTTGATAGTCTTAGAAATATCACGTCTCAAAAACAGTTATTTTGTTTCTTGTTCTCATTAACAACTGTTATAGTAAGCACATTGGCTTTTTCAATATTAACTTTTTATTCTGCCTGATTTCTTATCTTCAGTGATTTATTAACTTCAATCTAGTTTCCACAATTATGACTTGTTAAAATGAAAATTGTTATGCTTTAAGCTATAGAATTTTGATATGAAAGAGACAGATGCCAGACATAATTATTATTTTCTCTTATATAAGGGCTAAAAGGAATAAGGAAACAAAAATCCCTTTATCTGGGACCCATGGATTGATTTGTTTCAGGGCTTTATTAAATGTATTAGTATAGATATGTCACTTAGTTTTTTTCCTGGTGCCTAGTTAAGATTTTTATATTATTACTTGATAGTTCCCTTTTTTCTTGATATGTTTATGCTAACATTAAATGAAAGGGAGTTGAGGAGACTATAGACACATGTAGGCTCTGGCCTGCACCTGCAGTCTTTAGCACTTTTTGTTAATTGTTAAGATTGTTAACTCTTCGGATAAACGGACAGCAGAGCACAGTGGGAAGAACATAGTATTGAGGACAGAGAAAGCCAGCTGAATCTTGGTTTTGCATTCTACTTATAATTACTGTAGGGAGTTGCATGTTATTTTATATCTTTTAGCAGTAGCATATCCTCTATAAATTGGGAGTTAATAGTATTCGCTTTAATAAGTTGTTATGAGAATTAAATTGGGTTGCCTTATGTAAGCATCTGCACAGTAACTGGCAGAATAGCAAGTTCTTACAAAATGTTGATCTTTTCCTGCCTTCACTAATGGAAAACGCTTGATGGGAAGTACTGTAACTTAGAGTAAAAGATGTTAGGTTACGTGGCATAGATTTATGAGATGCATACAAGTCATTTCCTAAGTTTAAAAGGTGAACATTATATGTAAGATGTCTTTTCTTCTAAAGAAAATACTTTTTTCCTTTGGACTTAAGCATTGTGAGCCAGAAAAAGCAAAGCCAAACAGTTGCTTCAGTCTTAATTTCTTGTTCATGTTTCCTTATGGTGGGAGGGACTGACATCATGGGTACTATACCTTTGTACTTACATGTAAGAGAAGACAGGCAAGAACCAGAGAAGACAAATGCAGAAGGAAGTTAAGAGCTCTGGGCTGAGGAGAAGCATGGGTGTTCTGACAGGATGTTCTCTAACCCTGTCTTAGCTAGTGTGAAGAAGCTGGATATTTCGCTGATTCTTTTTTTTTTGATACAGCAGTAACAGACTATATTTCATTTTAAAAAACCTAAGCTTATGGCAAGGTTTCTTCCTTGTTTATTTGTTTAGTTATATTTCATCTAATATTTTAAAAACACAATTGCTTTCATTAAATGCTTTAGGACATGTACACGTTTAGCAAATTCTCTTTATTTTCTCCTTAAATGTATGATCAGTGTACTTCCAGATGCATTCAGAATAAAGATCCTGGAAGTCTGAGATACTCTATTATTCAAGAAATGTTTCCTCAGGAGACTGGGGCAGGAGAATTGCTTGAACCCGGGAGGCAGAGGTTGCAGTGAGCCAAGATCGTGCCACTGCACTCCAGCTTGGGTGACAGAGTAAGATCCATCTGAAAAAACAAAACAAAAAAAAGAAATGTTTTTATCACACTGTATTTAATCAGCCAGCAAAATGGCCATGTAGATTTTAGAAAGATTCTAGCAATTAATGTTAAAGTAACATTAACCCACCATTAAGTAGAAAATGAAATTATTGGGATACTCAATACACTTTCACTTTTTATCAGTTGAGTTTCTCTGATGCTTCTTTGTTCTGAACTTATTTAGTTTCTTCAACTTCTATTAAAAGGTTTCCTGAAACTTTTGAGGTTCCCTTGCATGAAATAATTTTTTTTTAATGCATTAAATAGAAAACTGAGGTAAGGATGGAAGAAAAGCATGTTTAGAGAATTATCTACTGATGCCTATACTCAGGATGTCCGGCTTTCTATTTTGGTGGAGATGTTGAAGATGCCACCTTCTCACGTATCTGTTATTGTAGAATTTGGACCTGTATTACAGCATTTGTTTAATTCTACCGTATTTTAAATCAAGGTGCATGAGATTTGTCAGTGTACACTGAATGAGACCGTCTTGTGATAGGTCTTGCTATGTTCTTATAGTAGAATGGACATTAGGCAAATATTAAGATACCTGCCGGTCCTAACTTTAGAGACTATCTGTGTTTTTCTCATCTACCTTACGGTGTTGTTGGTAGGATTAAGTGAGGTACTAATAATTTGGAAGCATTGCATGAATCCAGGGGATTATTATCACTGGACTTGTAAACATGACCAAAATCGTATCTGAGGAATTGCTCCCTTAAAGCAGAGAAAACGAAGGAGGGAGAATTACATGGGGAAATGACTTCTTGTGTTTTTAAGCTATGTATGTAGAAATTACAGTGTACAAAATAACTAATGGGTTGAACATAGACAAGAGATCAAAAGTAAACAGTTATATTGGTCTTTTATTTCTATGCTTTTTCCTGTTTCATTAACCTTGACCTATATTTATTTAAAAGGATTTGTGTACATCAATGGCAGAATCATCCAGCGAATCAGATCACTTTCGCTATCGTGACCGATTGAGTCCATGGGCTGCCAGATCAACTCACAGGGGAACTCGAAGTCTTCCTACAGTAGAAGTTACCGAGAAGGTCAACACTATAACAAGTACCTTACAGGTTAGTTTAACAATGGTTGCATTTAATAGTATTTAAATAGTTTGAGCTGCTTAATAGTTTCAGTCAGTGGATTAGTTTTCTTGCTGCTGTAACAAATTACTGCAAAGCTAATGTCTTAAAACAACACAAATTATTAAAGTTTTGTATGTCAGAAGTCAACACTGGTCTCATTGGGTCTCGGAGTGTTGGTCGGGATGTGTTCCTCTCTGGAGGCTCTAAGGGAAAAATCTATTGCTTTGCCTTCTCTGGTTTCTAGAGGATGCTCACGTTTCTTTCTTTTTTTTTTTTTTGAGACGGAGTCTCGCTCTGTAGCCCAGGCTGGAATGCAGTGGCCGGATCTCAGCTCACTGCAAGCTCCGCCTCCTGGGTTCACGCCATTCTCCGCCTCAGCCTCCCGAGTAGCTGGGACTACAGGCGCCCGCCACCTCGCCCGGCTATTTTTTGTATTTCTTAGTAGAGACGGGGTTTCACCGTGTTAGCCAGGATGGTCTCGATCTCCTGACCTCGTGATCTGCCCATCTCGGCCTCCCAAAGTGCTGGGATTACAGGCTTGAGCCACCGCGCCCGGCCTTGCTCACGTTTCTTGTCTTGTGGCTGCCTTCTCTCATCTTCAAAGCCAGCAGGGAAGGGTTGGAAGGGTCAAGCCCTTCTCACATCCTATGACTTTACTTCTCCTGCCTCCCTTTTCCTCTTTTACGGATGTTTATGATTTCATTGGGTCTACCCCATAATCCCAGGAGAACCTCTCCATCTAAAAGTCTTCAATGTAATCACATTTGCAAAATCCCTTTTGCCGTGTAAGGTATACATACACAGGTTGCAGGGATTAGGACTTGGATATCTTTGAGGGCCATTATTCTGCCTATGACAGTTGGTAAAGATATTTGAAATATGTGATAGGTGATGGAGAGTGTTTTAGGATAAAGCAGTATTTCTAAATAAAATATTGTGGGAGTGAAACCAGTAGAAATGATGATAGTTTAGCTTCTCATGGGCATGTGCCTTTAGAGAAATTGCTCATTTTGGTGAGGTAGATTATTTGTGGATGAAAATAAAAAGATGCCATTTTGATGTAGAGACTAATTTTTGCCAGCATTTGGAGGTTTGAGTTAAGGCATTTTGCTGCTTTTTCTTAGAAAGGGCTTTAGAAAAGAGGTGGGGGAAGGGTAACATAGCTATATGGGAAAAAAGAAAACTCAGAATGTATTTCCTACTCATTAATCCCTTACCTTTGCCTTAGTCTGGCTAAGCATGGATTTTGGCTTTTAATTGCTTTGGATTAGTATGCTTAGATAAGAAAAAGATAATTTTTGGTGGCGAAGCCATGCTTTGATTTGAAAACCAGAAGACCTATCCTTTTTAAACTTATTTAAAGTAACATCATGGGCTGGGCTGGGCATGGTGGCTCATGCCTGTAATCCTAGCACTTTTGGAGGCTGAGGTAGGAAGATCACTTGAGCCAGGAGTTTGAGACCAGCTTTGGCAACATACTTAGACTCTGTCTAAACACAAATTAAGAAAAAAAAAAATTAGCTGGGCATAGTGCTGTGTACCTGTAGTCCCAGCTAATCAGGAAGTTGAGGCAGTAGAATTCCTTGAGTCCAGGAAGCTGAGGCTGCAGTGAACCATGATCATGCCACTTTGCTCCAGCCTGGGTGGCAGAGCAAGACCCTTTCTGATCAATAAGTAAGTAAGTAAAGTAAAGTAAGTAAAATGTAAGTAAAGTAAGATAACAATGCAATTTTGCAGTATGAATTCTTGTACTTTCCCAACAATGAGACACATTAATAGGTATATATTTTTGAAGGAAATATCTTGATTAATCTCCCAGGTAAAATCTAGCATATTTAGATGAGAACCATTTCTATTGTGATGAAAATTAAATTTGTTATTTTTCTTCTCATCAAGTTCTGAGGTAAAAGAATAGTTGAAATAACATTGATCTGATAACCATTTCTTAATGATTTTCTTCTCTCGCATATAGTCTACTAGATTTGCTGTTTCGGGATTCCTTTTCTATAAAGAGAGTGTGAATTGGTTGAGGGGCACAAATTGAAAATTGTGATTCTAAGAATTAATGGTTTGTTGCCAACTTACTAGGGAACCTTGAATAATGATTTACATTATGTGTTGCAGATATTACACAAGTAAATTGCAGTCGGATTTGAGTTTCTCTCAGTGGTGTTAAGATTTACTTAATATGTATGAAGTACATTGATATTCAACTTAGCCATGATAAAATTTATACATTTTACAAACTGTTGACTTAGTTGATTGACATACTACTAAGATCGATTAGGAAAAAAAGTATTTGGAATAATTAATTCAGTCAATTTTCTTTCTCAGGATACCAGTCGGAACCTGCGACAAGTGGACCAGATGCTTGGACGATACCGAGAATACAGTAATGGACAGGCGGGTGCGATAGAACATGTGAGAAACTACATATGTTTGCATTTTCTCCTACCCAACATTTTGGGAATGAAGTGTTTTGGGGAATGGGGATGTGAGCTAAAGGAAATAACCATTGTGAAGCGCTTTAGATTTTAAACTAATTTATTGTTTTATAGTTTAAATTTAGGTTAGCTTGTCAGATGGATTGCTAACTAGCTTATATAAATTAGATTCTATTGAATTTGAAAGCTTTACATCAGAGCGAGAGAGAGGAATTCAAGACCTGAATTTAATGGAGACTTGGTAAACTTGGGCCGTGGAGAAACCCCTCATTCAGAGTTAAGAATTTCAAGAATGGTTTATTTTCAAGTAATAAGTGTTCATTGTTAAAACAAAAAATGAAATATTCCTCTCTCAAAGCCCCTTTTTAATTTTTTAAAATTTCAGTGCTTTAATGGAACAAATGGTTTTTTGGTTTCATGGATGAATTGTATAGTGATGAAGTCTGGGATTTTAGTGTACCTGTCAGCCACAGAGTGTGCATTGTACCCAATAGTTTTTCATCCTTTACCCTGCTCCCAGCCTTCTCCCTTCTGAGTCTTCAGTGTCCATTATACCACTCTGTATCCCTTTGTATACGCATAGCTTAGCTCTCATTTATAAGTGAGAAAAGTGGTATTTTGTTTTTCATTCCTTAGTTACTTCACTTAGGATAATGGCCTCCAATTCTATCCAGCCTCCCTTTGAGCCCCACTCAAAAAAGAGGTAACAATTTTGAGATCTTCATGTTTCCAAACATTTTCTATGTATTTACAAGCATATGTACGATTTGCTTTAAAAATGGAATCTTATTAAATATAATGTTATACAACGTTTTAAAATTTAATAATGCGTATCACTTTCCATGTAAGTTTGTGTAGCACTACTTGATTGTTTTGAATGGTTATACAGTATTCCATAGTATGAATGTATCTAGTTTTTCTTCTTATTATAAACATATAGCAATGACCATTATTGTACACACCCATGTATATGTCTTTGTAATCCAGTAGGATTGCTAGAAGTAGAATTGCAGGGTTAAAGGATATATGCATTTAAAAATTTGCTGGATATTTCAAAATTGCCCTTTCAAAACTTACTTTACATGGGGATGTAAGAAAGAAATGTACTCCAGAGTTCTAGAATAAAGTTAATAATGTATTTTTAATTAATGTGTTGCTAATTCTATCTTCTACCTTTCTTTCCTTTGGAATTGCTTACTTCTATCCTGTAAACTCTTGGAAAACCAATTAAATTTATTCCTTCATGTTTCCAATGATGGGTATATATACAATGTAATGAAAACACTAAAATCACATTGTATGTGTAGCTATCATTGGAAACATGAAGGAATAATGATTGTTTTATACATACCTGTGTTGTATTGAATTGTCACGTAACTCCGAAGTTGTGATTGATGACTTGTTTTTTTTTTTGTTTTTTGTTTTTTTTTTTTTTTACAAAGTAAAGGTATAGTCATCATTAATCACTTGTAATTGCAAGCTAATTGGGTGTAGGGAAACATATCTTCCCTCATAAGGGTTTCTACTATTTTTATTTAGAAAATGAGTTCGGACATCCTTGTATTTACAGCATTTTTATGATTTATGATGTACTTGACTAATGGAGCTCTATAGACTTTGTTATATTTGAGTAGCTCATGAAATGTTTCAGATTCATTACCTTATTAATAATGGGAATTGAGTCTTTGCTTTTTAATTTATTAGTTAAAAATTGAAAACATTCTTGTTAACCATTAGCAGAGTATAGTCCTCCTTTGTAAAGTTGAGTATTAGATCCCTACTTAGGGTATCAAATTTCCTTTGAATTGGGCAGTTGGGAAGTTAAATTATGTATACCCAATTTTAGGTATGATATATTCCATAGCAGTAAATACTGTAACGTTAAGAAAGCAATTTTCAGTGAGGGACCCATTGTCATCAAGTCTCTTTGGTAGGCCTAGAGTTGAATAATGCTGAACTTTCTGAGGGAATAGTTTTTTTTTGTTTTTTTTTTTTGAGATGGAGTCTCGCTCTGTCACCAGGTTGGAATGCAGTGGCGTGATCTCAGCTCACTGCAACCTCCGCCTCCCAGGTTTAAGCGATTCTCCTGCCTCAGCCTCCTGAGTAGCTGGGACTACAGGTGCATGCCACCATGCCCAGTTAATTTTTCTAGTTTTAGTAGAGATGGGGTTTCACCATGTTGGTTGGGATGGTCTTGATCTCCTGACCTCGTGATCCGCCTGCTTCAGCCTCCCAAAGTGCTGGGATTACAGGCTTGAGCCACCGCGTCCTGCCCGGGAGTGGTTTTATAAATGGGAAGTAAATAAACTCAACAGATATTTCCATTTGAGTTGTAAATACATTTTTAGGGGATGACAAACTCTTTTAAATACCTTCTCCTGATTAAAGCATTCTATTTCATCATTCTGTTTATTTTTTACTTTTATTGTCATTGCCTTTAATCATAATGATAAAAATTGTCATTTACTGAACAACCAAATCTGCCTCAGGCACTGTTCTAATTGTTTTACATAGATTATCTTATTTCATCCACAAAATAAAACATGTAAGAAAGTTATCTGATGGGATGTGAAAGATGCAGACAGGAGTGGGGGCAGAAGTGAAAGTAGTACAGCAGAGGAAAGCAAAGGAAGCTTTTCTTTGGTCCTTCTGAATCACAATATTTCTATTTTTAAATTTTTATTTATTTACTTATTTTAAGACAGAGTCTGACTATGTTATCCAGGCTGGAGTGCAGAGGTGCAATCACAGCTCACTGTAACCTTGAACTACTGGGCTTAAGCAATCCTCCCACCTCAGCCTCCTGAGTAGCTGGGACTCCAGTTGTGTACCACCACACCTGGCTACTTTTTACTTTTTAATCTTTTAGTAGGGATGGGATCTTACCATGTTGGCCAGGCTGGTCTTGAACTCCTGGGCCCAAGTGATCCTTCTGCCTTGGCCTCCCAAAGTGCTGGGATTACAGGCGTGAGCTACCATCCCGGCCTGAATTACAATGTTTTTAATGATCACTTCTGTTTTTTGGAGTACCCATTGTTGCCCAGATGATCTCCTTTCATAGATTTAGGTTGCAATGTAGTCAATCCTTTTGAGTTTTATATGCATTCTTTTTCAGTTCATTAACCTTGAGTTACATTTTGTTTCTAATCAGAGTTTTTCCAAATAGAGACATCAAAAGGCTTTCGGAGATCTCTGTGACAATTTAAAAACTTATTATTTTATTTTCATGGTAATGTAAAAGCATTTACAGTTATTTTTCAATTCATTTATATATCAGTTTCCAAAATAATTGATTTCCTACATCTTCTTATGGTGACCAATGACTTTTTTACCCCTTGAGTATCATTATTAACTTATAATTTATGCATATTTAAAGTGTTTTCATCCATTGCAGTTAATGTTTTTATTTATGCTCAAATTGTTTTATCTTTGGCTAGAGGAAGCCTACTACATGCTTAAATCTGAAAAAGCATGTCTTGATGATTTGGATAAATTACCTGTGTTAGTCCATTCTTGCATTGCTATAAAGAACTACCTGAGACTGGGTAATTTATAAAGAAAAAAGGTTTCATTGGCTCACGGTTCCACAGGCTGTACAGGAAGCAGCTTCTAGGGAGGACTCAGGAAACATACAATCATGGCAGAAGGCAAAGGGGAAGCACACATGTCACATGGCCAGAGTAGGAGCATGGGAAGGAGCGGAGAGGTGCTACACATTTTTAAACAACCAGATCTCATGATAACTCACTCACTGTACAGTACCAAGTGGGGATGGTGCTAGACCATTCAGAAGAACTCTGCTCCCATGATCCAATCACTTCTCACCAGGCTCCACCTCCAACACTGGGGATTATAATTGAACATGAGGTTTAGGTGAGGACACAGATCCAAACCATAGCCATTCAATTCCAGTGCCCAAATTTTATTTGCATTTGTACTGGTACACAGTAGTTTCCATTGTTTCAGGTTAATATCAAAAGAACAGAGGGTGAAAGAATAGACCTAATCTTTAAATAATGCATTTATATCAAGTGAGGTATTGATATACATTATATTATGTTCTGTGATGTCCATTTTACAGTATTTCAGACAGGGGAAAGTGGGGGAAAGTAGGATCATCATTTGGTATCCGGTGAGGTAGTCCTACTAGACTCGAAAGAATTTACAACACTGTAGTTAGTACCACAGTCTTGGGTGAGATTGATTAATTTTAGGAAAATAATATCATCCATCATAGAAAATTAATGTTAGATTGAGTTTTATTAATATTATTTTGTTTTTATTTAATTTTGTTTGGTTCGGCTTTACACCTAGTAAGGTGTTATAATCCGAAAGAGTTTAAAACAATTTTTATGACTTCATACTTTATCTCTTTATTTCTTGGTTTTTGTGTTTTAGGAGTTACCAAATCGGCTCCATACATCATTAAATTTTGTGCAGTGTCCGTTGTGTTGTGTTGTGGCTACTTCAAGTGTAGATTTTAATTCTATTACATTTTTAGTTTTATGTTTTAGATGCAAGAATTGTTTTTGCCATAATGCTTGGAAGAGTAATTTAAAATAGCCTTTATTTCATTCATCTCCCTTTACATTACATAATTTTATTTTTTGGACCTTATAAATCATCCTGTTCATCTTCAATGGCTTTGGATATATCTTTTTAGAGTTTTAAAATGGGGTTGACAAATCGTTTTTGTAATTTTTGTATTTTTGAAATAGTTTTTGAACATCTTTTATTCTTCTTAGATTTTGGGGAAATGTTTCATTTCTCTTGTTCTTTAATGTTCTTCTGTATGTCTCATGGTAGCTTTTTTTCTTTTGGTGGCAGGGAGTGTGTGTGTGTGTGTGTGTGTGTGTGTGTGAAAATTCATTTTATTTCTCAGCTTTTAGTTACAGCTTAGGATTTGTTAGCAAATAAGCCTACATAAAAAGGATGCTGGCAAGATCTGCTTTTGGCATTGGTAGATAAGATTATTTTCGATCAACTCTTCTACTGAGAACAACTAGAAACATGAAAAAAAAGTAAAAAAATAATATGAATCCATCAAAAAACTACTAAGGCAGTAAGGAATTTTGTAGTCAGGATCTGGCAAAAAACGTAAGTCCAGAAGGGTAAGTCTTATATTTGGGACTTTTTTCCTCCTTCAAGGTGATAGCTGATTCCTAAAGAGGCGGATTAAAAGCAGAGAGGCTAGGATCAGAGTTATCAATCAACTTAAGAGGCTTGGAAGAGCAAAACTGGAGTTCAGGAGCCCTTTAGCTTTAATGGAGACCCCAAAGGGTGACAGTATAGGCAAAGTGGTGAATTGGAAATGAGAAGTGATAAACTGAAAATAGAACAGCCTTCATAGTAACAGAAGCCTGTCCTTGAACCACTCAATTCCTAAGTGGATTAAGGTGATTTGACATTGCTAGTGACCCTAACCTGACTTTCTATTAGAAACAGAACCAGATTTTTCTGAATAAAGATGTCATCCTCTTGAACTTTAAATTATCTCTACAGCTTTTCATGTAAAATGTCTATCACATGATAAAGAATACACAGACATAAGAGAATATAAAAGGTATCTGAAAACCAAGGGAAGAAGCAGACAATAGAAAAATATATGGGACTATAAGGTAATCATGAATAACATGTTTAAAAAATTAAAAGAATTAAGAGATTTGGAAAATAATTGAAAACTAAAAGGAACCAAATGAAAATTTCAGAAACTGAAAAATAACATAAGTAAATAACCAACTGACCTTTAATGAATGAAGTGAACAATAGCTTGTGTATAGTTGAAAAAGAATTCATGAATTGAAAGACAAACCAGCATAAGATATCCAAAAAGACTGGAAGAATGAAAGATTGAAAAAATATAGAAAAGAGAAAAGAAGACATACAGCATTTGGTAAAAAGGTATAACTTAAACGCAGTTGCATTTCCAGAAGGAGAGGGGAGAGAGAATGAGGCAAAAACAATGTTTGAAAAGATGATGCCTGAGAATTTACAACATATGAAATTTATTAAGCTATGGATTTTCTGATCTCTGTGGATCAAAAATGGAATAAATACAAATAAAACTGTACATAGTGATACGTAATAAAACCACTGACAAAGGTAAAGAGAAAATCTGAAAAATAGCCAGAGCTAAAAAGGCAGATTACCTTCAAAAAGAAGCAGTAGTAAGAAATGATAGCTGACTCTGCTTTCAAAAGGATACTGAAATCGAGTTTAGCTTGAAAGATGGAAATAATAAACACAGCAAAAGTTAAGAGAGCTGATTTTATATTTTTGTTCTGACACTAATTTGTATGATCTAAAGTCACTTTATATTTCTAGTCTGTTTCTCATGTTACAGTTTGAATTTGAGCTTTTAAGCTTTAACATTGTTTAGTTTTATTCTGATAATTTTGTCATAGATTACTGATATACTACTTTGTGGTCACTGCATAACATCTCTGGTCCACTTATGTGTTATTTTACGTATGTGTAAATTACTCTGAAGGTAAACCTTGATTTTCCTGGGCATCATAGTATGTTTTGTGGATTGATGCTGAGTTGTTTTTTTATTTTTATTTTTTTATTTTTTGAGACGGAGTCTCACTCTGTCACCCATGCTGCAGTGCAGTGGCGCAATCTCAGCTCACTGCAACCTCCGCCTCCCAGGTTCAAGCAGTTCTCTTGCCTCATCCTCCCGAGTGGTTGGGATTACAGGCGCCCGCCACCATGCCCGGCTAATATTTTGTATTTGAGGAGACACGAGGTTTCACCATGTTTGCCAGACTGGTCTTGAACTCCTGACCTAGTGATCTAGCCATCTCGGCCTCCTAAAGTGCTAGGATTACAGGCGTGAGCCAACGCGCCCAGCCAATGCTGAGTCTTATAGCTGGCTGGTGAATACTCAAGGCAGGATGGTATCGTACATATCCCAGTTTAGGGAAGGAGGAAACAGAGGGATGTGGAAATCCTCTTTTTTTTTTTTTTCTTACAGAAATGAGAGGGACAAAAGAAGTAGATTCCTGAAATTCTAACTCTACTTCTTTTAATACAAATTGTTTCAATTTTAGTTCTCCAGAACAGCCAAATCCAAACAGCCAGACTGAAAAAGGATTTGCTTTGTTTGTGACTCATATTCTGTTTCATCTGTGCTTCTCCTTCAGTTGAGGCTCCTTTCTTTCCGCTCGTTTCCCCAAGTAAAGCAACTTGTTCTCCCCATAAATGGTGTTCTACCTTTTAACACTGGCTATACTTAGGAAACCCTGTCTTCTCAGTGAATCGTTTGGTTTATATAGAATGTCAAATTCTGTTTAAATAGTTATAGTTGACTTGTTCCATGGATCCATGCATTATGTTTAAAATTACTTTCTGTTCATCCTTGAATAAGATATCTAGACCCGAAGTTTCCCAGCAATTCAGGATGTATGGATTTTCTTCCGCTTTACTCTTTTTTTCCCTTGGGTCTCAGTCGAATCCTATTCTCAGGTCTGTAATTGTTTACAGCTCTGAACATTATTCTCAGTATTTAGCATGTTTTTATTTAATGTAGCTCTTTAAGTCTTAAAGATATGTTTTTGTACGTCCCCTGTTGGCCGACTCCTTAATAAACTGAATAAAGCATTTGGACAGGTGTAGTTTTTAGTGTGTACTGGCGGTCTGATATCTGACCCAATCATTTTCTGGGATTTGAAGCCTTTGAATGACTGAAAGAGGTATTCTGATAATAGAGTTGGACAGTGTACATTGTTTCAGTAGCAGCTGTCACTGTGACAGCTGTTTAGTTTCCTATTTGTTGTAGACCTGGAGTTTCTGAAGGAATGTTTAGAAGGGAGGAAAGTTTTCTGTCTTCTTTCAGTTGTGTTGACCTTGTTATGTTTCTTCACATGAGTGGTGCACCAATTAGACATTTCAATTTGGTTTTGTAAGCCCTTGCACAGTAGACATCTTTTCCACATCTGGCAATACAAAATGGAATAGGTAGTGACAGATGCCTTTTAAAACCAGATTTTAGTATTGGTTCTTAAAATATTTGTATTTACTATTTTTATATTTTAAACATAGTTTAACATTTTCTGATATATTTTTTGGGGAGAACCCAGATATTTCAGAAATAGCTTTGAAAATCTTTGGTCTATTTGTATTTGGAAGGTGTTTAGGAAGAATAATGCTTCATTCATTATATTCTTTAACTTAGTTAAAAGAAAGCTTGGAACAATCAATCGACCAACTCCGGAGTCAACGTTTATTGAGAAACTCAGGAGGGAGAAGTATTTCTGTTACAAGTTTGAGTGCAAGTGACCTTGATGGTGGCACTGGGCCAGGTAAACACTTCAAATGTTCTGGAAAACATTTTTTTGTTTTAAAAATATTTTTGAAGTAGATATTGAATACATTTAATTTTTGGAGAAATATGACCCATGCATAACTTCACGCAGATTGGATGATAGAACATTTAGTTGTCCAGGATTTTATAGTACATAATTTGAAATATATTAAAGGATTTTTGTTGTTATATTGTTTTTTTCCTCAGACTCTGTAGACCACATTAGAGCTTTACCTGACAAAAACCTGGATTTAATTGTCTGCTGCCAAAGAATCAAAACAAATACATAAATAAGATTCACTATGTGATACACTTTTTAGGTTAAGTATCTTGTCCTAGCATAATACATTTCACATGTCTTATGAAATATCCTGTGATACTTGTTAAGACCAGATGAATTTTAGTCTTGGCATGCAGGTGGATATGAATGGCTAGCTTAAAGGTTATGACCGTTTGTCCTAATTAATCTTACTTACACTTTTGTATAGCACTGAGATTCATGTTTGAATCGAAAAGCCTGCAGTAAGGGGAGACGTTTTAGATAATTGAACAGTGGTACCTTACATTGTTAATATTACTGTTGATTGTGATCAAAATGATTAAAAATTGGGTACTTTTTCTGTAGTTAGTTTTTATTTTTATATGCTGTTCAGATTGTAGATTATGTAGTTTTAAAAATTGTGTTTTTTAGTATTAAGTTATATTAAAGGGTCATACAAGTTTTTTATTTAGCAATTTATTATTTTTATATGAGCAAATATGTTGCTTCTTTGGAAAGTATAGCAAATTGAAACTTTGGAGTGTTCTATTTCCAGGTTATTTCTGTTTTTCATTTTATCTGCTTTAAGAGCACAATTAATGCTAATTTGGTGGAACTTTATAGCCATAGCAAGATAGTTGGGAAATAGTCTGGGTTAGGGACATATGTATATGTATATCCATGTCTGCCTTGTTTGTACTGAGTAAAAGTTTGGATTGTCTTTTCTATGCAGTGTTTTAATACCTTCCCTTTTCTTTCACTTGTGAAGAGAGCCATCGTTTTCCACCTACCTCACCTCTCAAGGACTATGGGGATCCACTGGGTATTAAACGAAATACCAGATCAAGAACTGGTGTCCGCTTTGTTCAAGAGACTGATGATATGACTCAGGTACTTTGTACAATTCTGTAATTTGTGTGCAGGATTTCCTTATGTTTCTATTGTATATAGATGACTAACACTTGAACTTAAGTTTATATTTTAACCAATTTGATCATTAGTAACTTTATACTGATCCCTTTGATTTTGAACCAAGTAAATGACTTTATTTTACTTTTTATTATTTTTTTCTTATTGAAAAATCATAGTTGTGTACATTTATGGGGTATAATAAGATGTTTTAATATATGTATACAATGTGGCATGATTAAATCAAGTTAACATCTATCACTTTGCTTATCTATCATTTTTTATGGTGAGACGTTTGAAATTTATTCTGTCAGTTATTTTGAAATATATAGTACGTTATTATTGACACTGGTCACCCTGATGTGCAATAAATCTCAAAACCTATCCCTCCTGTCTGTCTGAAACTTTGGACTGTTTGATCAACTCCCCTTTCTCTCCCTCTTCACCCCCTCTCCCCACCACCTTCTGGTAACCATTATTCTCCTCTATATTTCTATGAGTTCAACTTTATTAGAGTTCATACACAAGTGGGATCATATAGTATTTGTCTTTCTGTGCCTGGCCTTTTTTACTTAACATAATATCTTCAGATTCATCCGTATTTTTGCAAATGACAGGATTTCTCCCTTTTTAAAGGCTGAATAGTATTGCGTTGTGTATATATACTACTTTTTCTGTATCCATTCATTCACTGATGGCTGCTTAGGTTGTCTGCAGATGTTGGCTATTGTGAATAATGCTGCAATGAACATGAGAGTGCAGATATCCCTTTGACACATTGATTTTAGTAGCTTTGGGGGATATATCCAGAAATGGGATTAATGGGTCATATGGTAGTCTTAGTTTTAGTTTTTGAAGACCCTCCATACAGTTTTCCATAATGGCTGTACTAATCTACATTCCCACCAACAGGGTGTACAAGAGGTTGCTTTCCTCCACATCCTGTCCAACACTTATCTTCCATCTTTTTGATAAAAGCCATTTTAACAGGTGTGAGGTGATATCTCATTGTGGTTTCAATTGGAATTTTCCTAAAGTTTACTGATGCTGAATATTTTTAAAAATGTACCTATTGACCATTGTTATGTCTTCTTTTGAGAAATGTCTGTTCAGGTCCTTTGCCCATTAAAATTTTTTTTTTTTTGGCTATTGAGTTGAGTTCTTTGTATATTTTGGATATTAATGCCTTGTCAGACATATGGTTTGCAGATATTTCTCCCATCCTGTGGATTGTCTTGTCACTTTATTAATTGTTTCCTTTGCTATGCAGAAACTTTATAGTTTGATGTGATCCCGTTTGCCTATTTTTGCTTTTGCTGCCTGTGCTTTTGGGGTCATCATATTCAAGAAATCATTGTCTAAATTAAAGTCATGGAGCTTTTCTCCTACGTTTTCTTCTAGTGGTTTTATAGTTTCAGGTCTTGTATTTAAGTGTTTCATCCATTTTGAATTGATTTTTTGGTGTGTTACAAGATAAGGGCCTAATTTCATTATTCTGCATGTATGTGCAGTTTTGCCGACACAATTTATTGAAGAGACTATGCTTTCCCATTGTGTGTTTTTAGCACCTTCATAAAAAATCAGCTAACCACAAATGTGTGGGTTTGTTTCTGGGATTTCGCCTCTGTTCATAGGTGGATGCATCTGTTTTTTTGCCAGTACCGTGCTGTTTTGATTACCAGCGCTTTATAATGTTTTGAAATTAGGGAGTATACTGCCTCCAGCTTTGTTCTTTTTTGCTTAGGATTGTTTTGGCTACATGGGGTCTTTTGTCATTCTATGTGAATATAAGATTGTTAATATAGGATTTTTCAAGTAAACTAGTTTATTTTCAATGTACAAATCATCTTCCCTTTGTTTTGAGTTTTGTTATGGAGGGTTATATCTTGCAGAACATTTAAAGATGAGCTTTAATTGGACACGTTTTGTTTCCTTTCTTGTTCAGCACATTTTTCCGTAATCCCTGCTGAGTCAGCTACTTTCTCTTTCACTAAGTTTGGTTTAGTATGACCAAGTTAATCTTTGTGTGGTTGATCTACTGATTTTCCTACTGTTAGTGTTTTTCTGATTGTTGAATCATTGATAGAGCCATTTGCTATTAAGTAAGAAATTTCCATACTTTATGTATTCACTAAAGATTTCTGAAGTACTAGTTCTGTGGAAATCTTTTTCTGCTTCTTTAAAGTTCTCTGCAGAGCTGTAATTTTTCCTTTTGTTGTCTTAAGTAGCTAAATTAAATTGAAAAGGGCTGGGGGAGTTCTGCACTTTGACCTTTCTGTTTTGGTAGTTTTAGGATTAGGTACTCAGAGTGTATCTTAAGATATTCCTCTGTAGCTTTCACTTGTTACTGCATAAAGAGACAAAAAATCAAATGTATTAGAAGACACCCTGTGGAAACTTTTCCTTGGCAATGTTATTTTTTTGATAGTTGCACCTTGCAAGCATGGACTATATGATGAAGCCCAGAACAGAGAACAATATCTTAACATTATTCATTTACTGTTTCCTTCTGTTTATTTAATGTCTCTGTTATTGGGATAATGCTTACACTTGGAAACAGTGATGAGCAGAAACCTTGTCTTTTAATACATTTATAATCTAGAGGAGGAGCTAGATATTAAATAAATACATAAATACAACCTTATTTATGAACTGAGATGCATGCTATAGTGAAAAGATGCATAGGGCTACAGAATTGTATGGTAGAGGACATGCCCCGGCAAGGAGGGCTTCCTGAAGAAAGGCTGACTGAGCTGAGATCTGAAAGGTGAGTAAGAGTTATTCCAGGTAGAACAAATAGCTTGGCAGGAGAGAAGATAGCCCCTATGAGCAATTTAAAGAAGGCCCACGAGGCTAAACAAGTATGAAGTGATGAGATTCTGTAGAGCTGTGTAACAGGGCTGACAAAATTATTTTGAAAAGATCACTCTGGCTGTAGTGTGGAAAATGGAGTCAATGTGGGTGAACCAATTAGAGGGATTTTACTGTGCTCTGGATGTGAATTGATGGTCACTTGGGTTAGGATAGATGGAGTTGGAGAGAAGGAGGTAGAATTAAAGGCGTTTTAGTGTATAAAATGGAAAGGTCTTGAAAATTAGATAGCCATGTGGGGAATGTAGCAGTGAGTGAAAAGGAAGTGTCAAGGATGCATCCCCAGATGCTGGTTTGCTAAATTGGAAAATCATGATTGCAAAACTTAAGTTTTTCATTTGCTATACTACTTCACTCCTTTCTTTTTATGGTTCTTCCTCATTAAGTTCATTCTCAAAATTACCCTTAGCTCCACTTGACTGTGTACTTTCTTAATGCCCCCGTAAAGAATTTGTGGTTTGTTTACATATCTGGCTCTCATATCAGATTGTGAACCACTTCTCAGTAGCTGGCAATGATAAATTGCTTAATGTGCATTTGTTGAAATGAATCAATTTGTTGTTTCTTCAAGTCTGTTTAACGTAGTTTTATTATAAATCATTCAATTTATATTCAGCATATATATTTACAGTTAAAGTTACAATAATGAGAATGAATACCATATAATCCCCACCCAGGCCACTAAGTAAAGCATTATCATACCCCCAAGCCTCTTTTATACTCCATCTTTTCCCAAGGGGTATCCACTATCCTGACTTCATACATGTCATGACACTGTTTCTGCTTTAAAAAACAATTTTTTTTTACTTTTTAAATTTTTACTACCTACATCTTATTTAGTGTTGCTTGCCTTTAAACTTTATGTAAATGGGATACTACTATAATCTTTTGTAACTTCTTATTTTACTTGATGTTATGTTTTTGACATTCAACTTTACTAACGCGTAGGTATCTTTGATTGTTTCATTTTCATTGCTATATTATACTCCAGTGGAGGAATATACTACAATTTATTTATCTTGGTGTACATTTGGTTTCTCATGTTCTCATTATGAATAATGCTGCACCATACTTTCTTGTACATGTTTCCAAGTGTACATGAGCAAGAGTTTCTCTACAGCAGGAGTTGGCAAAGTAAGGCATTGTAGGCTGATAGAATAAAACTTTATTGTAATTCAGCCACGCTTATTTGTTTATAGTTACTTTTGCGCTACAGTGGCAATATTAACTGTGACAGAGACCGTACAGCTTGTAATCCTGGCATAGTCGCTGTTGGGCCCTTTACAGAAAAAGTTGGCAGACCGGTTTTCTGCTTCTTTCTCTCTCTCTCTTTTTTCTTCTTCTTTTACCCTGATTAAGGAAGAAACAGACCCCTTCTAGAGGAGTAGAATTGTACTCTAGAAAATGTGATGGTAAATGTTATATAAAGCTTTTAAAAATTTGTTTTTCTTGGAAATTTTTTCTTTCAAAATAGGTGTTTTCTTTCATAATAATATTACAGAATCTGGTTATTATTGCAAAGAACAAGATCTTATTCTTACCTTCGGCGAATCTTCATGGAAGAATTCAACAGAATTCTAAATGGATAACTGTGTTTTGCCTTTGCTAGCTTCATGCTTTTCATCAGTCTCTTCGAGACCTCAGCAGTGAACAAATTCGCCTTGGAGATGATTTCAACAGGGAGCTTTCCAGAAGGAGCCGGTAAAAGCAGCCTATGGTTTTTATGAGAGGGATAAATTATGAGGAGAATAAATTAGCTTCTGTAATTGACATATTTATCTAGATTTTTAAAAGGTGTTGTTTTTATACAGTATCTGAAAATTTATTAACAGAACAGTTTACAGCCCTTTGAATTTAGAATATATCATGACTCAATGTTAGGCAAATTAATTTCCTATTTGTAAAAACACTTTAACTTAATACAATGGAATGCTGACATTATGGAGGGATACATTGTGAGACTTTTGCAAAGAGGTACATTTGCAAATACCATTGGAGAGAGAGACACAAAGACTGACTCGCTAGCTGACTGACTTTTGGCATTGCACACACAAAAAAGAAGTGTCACATGAAGTTTGTCAATGAACATAAACCATTGCAGAATGCAATACTTTAGCTTTTAGTTGAATTCTTTGAGGGTCAGTGGTTAACATCTGCCCCATCTTCGCAATTTTGTCAATCTGGATAGTCCCCAAGAGCTGTTATTTAATTTAAACTTCTTTACTCTCTGTCCATTTTTGTCATCACCAGTGGCAGGTGGCTTTCTTTTGGAGGCCATGTTTTGCTGAAAAACAAAGATTTTTATGCCTTCCTAAGAATTGCAATCCATATACAGCAATGATTAGGGAACAATAAAGCTGAATTGAAATTTGTTTACGATATTTGCTTGCTGACTCCAGCTATCTAAATCATACCACGCACTAGTTCTGTGTCGCTGCAACAAACATAGTCAAAACTATAAATGTTAAATCTATGAATATCAAGTATAGGCTGTAATGAGAATGAAAGATTCTACCATTATTACTAGTGCTATTAGCTAATATTATTGAGCCCTTATTTCATGATTTAACTTTAATTCTAGTAACTACCCTTTGAGGTAATCATTAATTTTTCCTCTAGTTTATGGATGAGGAAATGGGCAGAGAGAGATGAAATAACTCAGCTCTCTGGAAATCCAACAGGAGGGCTGTAGCGGAGTCAGAATTAAAATCCAGGCAGTAAGGCCCCAAAGTTTCTGTTCTTTATCACTTACAGTGTATGGTGGTTCAAAATCATTTTCACATGTGACTGATACAAATAAAGCATTTAAATTCCTGGATCGTGAGATATATTATTGAGCTATATTGCTAACCTTTTAAACTGGTAATATTTATTTAATATTTAGGTTTTTGTTTTTTTTTTTACAAGTTGATAAAATTAACAAAATGACATTAACACTTTAATGTATTGTAGGAATGGTTTTATTACATAACCATTACCCATTTCAAGGAAGGGTATAAATTAAGCACTGGGAACATGAGTTAAAGGGAATAGTTGCCTTGTAAGAAGACACAGGGGAAGTTGCAGGGATGATTTAGTTGTATAGTTTCAATGGTCATTTAAATAACCAATATTGGACTGGGCTGTTAGTATCTGGTAATAGTTTTTATGATCTATAGGCTGGTACCATCTGGTAATAGCCTTGTGACCTAGAGGCATGTGTGTGGCAGAAAACTTTGTTTAACCCAAAATAGGAGTTAGGTTTCTTGGGAAATGAGGTGGCTTACCTTTGTGAATGTGTAAAATTTCTGGATGCTGCTCTGCTTTACTTGTACCACAAATTCTTACTTCATGTTTATAAAAATAATGGACAGGGAGTTAAAAAGTTTAACTTTCTATTTGATGTTGAAAGGTTGGTATTCTCATTTAATTACTGATTTTTCATTTTTGACATTTATTACAAAACATACATTGAATAATAAAAGTACACTGGGAAGCAAGCTTTTGGAAAGGATTAAGTAAAGTTTAATTCAGAAATCACCTACTTTGGATGCCATATGAAGAACTGATTTGGGCCAGGTGCAGTGACTCAGGCCGATAATCCCAACACTTTGGGAGGCCGAGGCAGGTGGATTGTTTGAGCTCAGGAGTTTGAGACCAGCCTGGGCAACATGGTGAAACCCCGTCTCTACTAAAAATACAGAAAAATTAGCCTGGCATGGTGGCACATGCCCATGGTCCCAGCTACTTGGGAGGCTGAGGTGGGAGGATTGCTTGAGCCCAGGAGGTTGAAGCTGCGGTGAGCTGAGATGAGTCACTGCACTCCTGCCTGGGTATCAGAGTGAAACCTGTCACAAAGGAAAAAAAAAATTGATTTGAGGAGGGCAAGGTAGAAGTCTGTTGCACTAGTATATGAGAGTTGATGATCACCTGACCCAGGATTATGGCAGCAGAGAGATGGACAGGGATGTGTTTGAAGATACTGTTTTTGGAAATCAAAGAGACAGAATTTGGTAGTGGTGGGTGAGGGAGAATAAACTAAGGATGACTCTAAGATTTTCAATTTGAATAAGTAGATGGTGATTCCACTTCCTGAGATATGGAAGACTGGTTTGGGTAGGTGAGGTGTAGAGAGTTTGGCCTTGAATATGTTATGTTCAAGATGCCTGTGAGACATTCAAATGGAAAGTAAAATATTCAGATAGATATTTACTATGGAGCTCAAAGGAAAAGTCTAAGTTGAGGTAAAATTTAAGAGTGGTCAGCATGGAGAAATGTCATTTGGAACCATGGAAATGGATAATAACAAGAGAGAAACTATAGGGAGGATATCAAGGACAGGACTGAGTTTCAAAGAGTGGTAATATTTAGGAATCTTATGATAGAAGGAGGAGCTGACCTGAGATGGAATAGCTAGTGAGATGGGGGAAATTCCAGACAGCATAGAGCCACAAAAGCCAAGAAAGGGGCTGTAATATTTATGGGTGTTGTGTCAGGTTCTTGCAGTTTACTTATTTTTGTTATTCTTTGGTATTCCACTGTGTGAATATACAGCAATATATTTTAACATTCTATACATACATACAGAAAGACATTTTCAGAGGTTTAAAGTCTTCAAAAATTTAGTTAAATAAAATTGTAACCAATAAATAGAAAGATAAAAATGTTAAGAAATAGTAAAATTAACCTGGGGATTCAGTGAAAGTAACCCTGGAATGACAGTCATGGAGCAGGCCCAGGAAGTATTCACTCTACACTAGAGCAGGAAAGTAAAAAGAGTGAAATAGATGGTTTGTTGACCATTCAGTAAGAAGTGGGAGGAAAATATCAATGATGTGATAAGTAAGGCCCATATAAAGCCAAAAGATAATGAGAAAGCTTGGAAAAGACAAGAACACAAGAAAGTTATGATTCAAGTGTGAAGCTGACTACAATGTGAGCATGACAGAATGTGAGCACAAAGCATCAATTCCATCAATTTCATAGGATGGAATAATTCACAATATTCATAAGATGTATAAATGTATTACATAAAACTCTACAGGTCCAATAGAATCAAAAATGGTAATAACGTAATCTGAAATTAGAGAATGAGCTAAATATTTCAAAACAGCCAATCGAAAATGTCTTGAGTTGAACATGATGAAGGCAACTAGCAAAATAATTAATAATGGAAATGGTTGTGCATGATTCACAGAGGGAAGTGCAGCCAGAAGTAAGACAGTGCAAGACAGAAAGGCTTTTTCTTTTCTTTGTAAATCTTTCTGTACGATTTGTTCATTTATCATGTATGTTATTTATTTTTTTTTTTTTGAGACGGAGTCTCGCTCTGTCGCCCAGGCTGGAGTGCAGTGGCCGGATCTCAGCTCACTGCAAGCTCCGCCTGCCGGGTTTATGCCATTCTTCTGCCTCAGGCTCCCGAGTAGCTGGGACTACAGGCGCCCGCCACCTCGCCCGGCTAGTTTTTTGTATTTTTTAGTAGAGACGGGGTTTCACCGTGTTAGCCAGGATGGTCTCGATCTCCTGACCTCGTGATCCGCCCATCTCGGCCTCCCAAAGTGCTGGAATTACAGGCTTGAGCCACCACACCCAGCCTATCATGTATGTTATTAATTTGATGAGAAACAAGGTAATGGGAGGTCGGTTACTGAGGATAGAGTTTGCACAGCACACTTTGAGGTAATTTCTTTATGAATTGCTAGAAAGAGCGTGTAAGATTGAGAGTTTTTGTTCTCTTTTGTCCCTCTCTCTCTTCCTTTTTTCTTAATTTAAAATGGGAGATATTGCAACATGTTTGTTTACTGAGAGTGATGTTCCAGTGTAGCAGCAGTTCTCAAAGTTTGGTCTCCAGACCTGCAGACCTCTATTCCTGCATCACCTACGAATTTTCGAAAGGCACATTTTTGGGCCTCATCTCAGATTTGCTGATTTGAAATCTGGGGGACGGGAACCAGCAGTCTGCGTTTTAACAAGCCTTCCAGGTGTTTCAGATTTTATAACATTTGAGAACCACTAAAGTAGAATATTTTGTAATAACGTAATTATCATGTTATGCATTTCACTAGTTCTGTGTATTTTCTAAATATCCAAGTTTAAATCTTTTTTTGTGGCCTAGGTCGGATGCCGAAACAAAAAGGACTTTGGAAGAATTGACTGAAAAACTTAATGAAGCCCAGAAACAAGAAGTGGTGAGACCTCTTTTTTAATAAAAAGTTTTATTTCACATATAGAGGATGGGTGGGCTGGCCGTAATCACAGTGAAGTTTAGTAGAGTTTAACCTTTTGGGTGGTAAGTCCCATTTTGTCTAAAAGTGTGTTCTTGTAGCTCTTATAAAATGTTCATGAATTTTGGGTATTTATATTTGGTATATTTATATTTAGGGTATATTTATTTGGCATTTACATTTAGGGATTTATATAATAGTATTAGCATATTAGAGATAGAGTCAACATTTGTTTTAACTAGGTTAGAGTTTATGATGACTATTTGAAAGATAATTTAAGTTTTACTGGCTCTGATTGTTTTGTAGTTTTTGTGAAATGATATTTGAGAAGTGCAGAATGCTTTTCTTTTCTTTTTTTTGTTTTTGAGACGGAGTCTCGCTCTGTCGTCCAGGCTGGAGTGCAGTGGCCGGATCTCAGTTCACTGCAAGCTCCGCATGCCGGGTTCACGCCATTCTCCTGCCTCAGCCTCCTGCGCAGAATGCTTTTCATAGTGTTTTTGTAGCACCCCCATTTTCAGTTTGTCTCATGTATGTAGTTACAATTGCTAGAAAGACCTCTTTGCTGTCTGTTTTTGTCTGATATGGTTCCATTTGAAAATACTCCTAATTCCCAAGCTTTATTATCTCAAAGTCATATTGTTGACACTCACTGTTCAGTGATTTATTTTTATCAAATCACTATCCTTGGTGGAATTAAGGTTAAAAAAATACGGTCTATATAGTGTTAATTTCTTTATATTATCAGTTTGTCTTTTTAGGAGGAAATGGTTAATGGTCACTAAACTTGTGAATTTGTCAACTTCAGGAGTGTATTTATTCATTTATTCATTTCTCATAATACCTTTTTTTCAAGATAAAGAAAGTGTGCAGGATTTTTTTCTTAATATATTTTATTCAAATTGAAAGTTTCCTAGTAAATTTTTCTCCAGTTGTTAATTTGTTTACAGTTCCTTACATAGATATGTTGAGTTCATTTTGGAGTTTGAATTTATTGGCTGAATGTGCTAAGAGATAAAAAGATCAATGAAGTTGATCTTTTTGAAAATAAGGTATTTGAAAATTTCACTTATAGTGAAATTTGCTTATTTTAAAAATATGAATAAACACTTGGCTACATGAAAATACTTTTCTTTTGTGTTTTTGGTATTAAGTTTTTTGTGAAGAGCCTTAGAAAGGTGAAGATACAATGCCTGTCTTCTGCTGAAGTAGACAACATTTTTGCAATTAATGTGTGGCAATGTGGCATCTAATGTGTAATATCAAGATATATTTATTTTTTTGCATAAAGTTCTAGATTTTTTCAGACGTACTAAGGGTACCTTCAATTTAAACTGTACCAGTCTAAAATATCTAAAACATCACATACTTCCAAAAAAGGACTTTTCTGAGATAAACAGTTTGGTGCTTTTCTTAGTTAATTGCAATAGTTCACACAGTACGAAATCTGTGCTATTGTCTGATTTATGTACTAAACAAGAGCTGAAGTACACATTTAAGAATGTTGCTGTAAGGTCCTCTTTAACTTACCAAATAATATTCTGTCTCATCTCATAAATTCCAGAGTGGAACCTGTTACTTGACAAGGGAAGCTGCTGAAGCTCTTTTCTTTTTCACTTGTTTAAAAATTTTAAAATTCGGAAGTATACATACAGAAAAGTACATGTATCAGTGTATAGCTTGATGAATTATCATGAGGTGAACATACCCTCACCACCCAGATCTAGAAATAGAATATTACCAGTATTCAATAAAACTTCTAATTTCTCTTTCCAATCACTAACTCCTTGCTTTCTAAAGATAATCACTATTTTGCCTTTTAACCCTATAATTTCTCCCTGTTTTGAACTCCTTGTATTAATGGAACCATATAGGACAAGTTTTTTTGGTCTTCGACTTCTTTTGCTAATCATTAGGATTGTAATGGGTGTTGTGTCAGGTTCTTGGATTTTGTTCATTTTTATTGTTCTTTGGTATTCCATTGTATTGATATACGGCAATATATTTTAACATTCTATAGCTACAGATAGGTAGTTGGATTATTTGAAATTTGGGGCTTCTATGGATAATACTGCTATGACCATTCTTATTCAATATTTAGTGTACATGTGCATGCATTTCTGATGGTACATAACATGCAGTGCAGATCCTAGATGCCTTCAAATTTAGTAGACACCAAAAAATAGGTTTCCAAAGTGGTTGCACTAATTTACACTCCCACTAACAGTGTATGAGAATGCATGTTGCTCTTCTTCTTTCCAACACTTGCTATTACTTGTCCTTTCAATAGTAGCTATTATGATAGGTGTTCATGGTGTCACATTTTGGTTTTCTTTTGCATTTCATGATTACTACTGATGATAAACATATTTTCATATGTTTGTAGACTGTTGGTTATTTTCTTGTTTGAAGTGCCAGTTTGCATCTTTTGTCCACTTTTCAATTGGGTTGATTGTCTCTTTGTTATTGTTTTGTAGGAGGTCTTTATATATTTTTTTCTTTCTTTTTTTTTTTTTTGAGATGGAGTTTTGCTCTTGTTATCCAGGCTGCAGTGCAATGGCACGATTTCGGCTCACTGCAGTCTCCGCCTCCTGAGTTCAAGTGAGTCTCCTGCCTCAGTTTCCCGAATAGCTGGGATTACAGGCGTGCACCACCACACCTGGCTAATTTTTTTGTGTTTCTAGTAGAGATGAGGTTTTGCTATGTTGACCAGGCCGGTCTTGAACTCCTGACCTCAGATGATCCACCCACTTCGGTCTCCCAAAGTTTTGGGATTACAGGCATGAGCCACTGCGCCTGGCCTATATATTTTCTATATGAGCACATTGTGAGTTTTTTATATTGCACGTATCATCTCCCATATTGCAGCTTGTTTCTTTTCATTTTTATATTGTACTTAATGGGACTTTCTATTGAATTTTAATCCAGTTTAATTTTCCATCTTCTCTTTTGTGGTTAGTACTTGTTTGACCTAAGAAGTCATTCCCTATATTTAGATCACAAAGATGTTCTCTTGTGTAATCATTTAGAAGCTTATGGTTTTACCTTTCACATTTAGATGTGATATTTACTTGAAATTGGTATTTGTGATATGAATTAGGAGGAATACATTTTATACGAATGTTTAATTAAGTTCTATTCATTAAAAGGACTACTCTTTCCCAACTACTTTACAGTCATATCTTTGTTATAAATCAAATGTTCATATGCACAAGCATCTGTTTCGGGACTCTTTGATCCCCTGGTTTGTCTCTCCAAGTGCCAGTATTCCACTGTCTTGATTACTGTTGCTTTCTATTTAGTTGTGGTAGGGATAGAGTAACTCCTTTCATGTTGTTCTTCAAACTTGTCTTGTGTGTTCTTTGCCTTTTGCATTTCCATATATATTTTGAAATCTGCAAATGAAATTATTAAAAATCTGGGATCTTGATTGGATTACATTGTTTCTATAGGTCAATTTGAAGAGAACTGAAATCTTTATAATATCAAGTTTTCCAATTTATAAACATAGTATATCTTTCCAATAATATTTTATGGTTTTTTTAATCTAGAAGTTAAAAAGATTTTTTTTAAACAATTTTTTTGAGGTATAATTGACATAGAATAAATGGCCCATATTTAAAGTGTACAGTTTGATAAGTTTTGACATAAGTGTTACCTGTGAAACCATCACCGCAGTCAAGATAAGGACACACCCATCACCCCCCAAAATTTCTTACCCACCCTGCCCTGATTGGCCCTTTCCCTACCCCTAAAACTCAAGTTTAAATGTAACTATCCTTTTACTTATTTTTTTTTAGTAAATTTTATTTTGTAAATTTAAGCTATGCAACATGATGTTATGGGATATACGTAGATAGTATAAAGATTATTACATTGAAGTAAATTAACATATCTGTCCTTTCACAGTTACCCATTTTTTTTTTGTTTGTTTTTTTGGTTTTGTGGCAGGAACATCTAAAATGTTCTTATTTAGCATGAATCCCATATACAGTACTGTTTTATTATCTATAGTTCTGATGTTGTCCTTTAGATCTCTAGACTTGTTCATCCTACACATCAGCTACTTTGTATCCTCTGACTTGTATCTTCCCATTTCATCCCCTCTAACCCCTCTGTCCCTGGTAACCACTGTTTTGTTCTCTCTTTCTGTATATTTGATTTCTTTTTGTAGATCCCATATTTAATTAGCGAGATCATGCAATATTTTTCTTTTTGTGTCTGGCTTATTTTACTTAGCATCATTGTCCTCCAGACCCAGCCATGTTGTGGTAAATGAAAAGATCTCATTCTTTTGTAAGTCTGAGTAATATTTCATTGTATATATGTACCACAATTTCTTTATTCATTTTTCTATCAACAGACACTTAGCTTTTTCCATATCTTGGCTATTGTGAATAATGATGCAATGAACATAGGAATGTAGAATCTTTACATGGTGATGATTTTATTTCCTTTGGGTATATGCTCAGCAGAGGGATCGTGTGTCATTTGGTAGTTCTATTTTTAATTACTCTTTCTGCATACTCTTGTCAACATTTGTTATTTTTTGACTTTTAAAAATAACCACCTTTACAGCTGTGATGTGGTATCTCATAGTGGTTTTGATTTGCATTTCCCTGATGATTAATGATGTTAAATACCTTTTGATATAGCTGTTGGTGATTTTTGTCTTCTATGGAGAAATGTCTATTTAGGTCCTTTGTCCGTTTAAAAAATTGGGTTATTTGTTTTTCTACTATTGAGTTGTATGAGTTCTTTGTAAATTTTGGGTATTAACCTCATCAGATATATTGTTTGCCAATATTTTTTTCAATTTGTAGGCTGCCATTTCATTTTATTGATTTTATCTTTTGCTGTACAGAGCAGCAAAAGATATAATTTTTTTTTTTAGTTTGAAGTAGTCCCACTTATTTATTTTTGCTTATGTGGCCTGAGCTTTTGGTTTGATACCCAAAAATCATTGC